TGGGCACAAACGAAAACATAAGCTAGCGAGCAAGTCATCCCGATGGAGATCGAGGATCTGAGGGTCTGGACCGACTTGACCCTCTCGGACGACGAGAAGAGAGTCCCGGCCGCTTCGCCGCCGAAGACGTCACCACCATCAGCGACGTCATCGCCGTCGACGACGTCGCCATCACCAGCGACGTCACTGCCGCCGACGACGTCACCGTCAACGACGACGTCACCGCCACCACCACCAGCGGATACACCACCGCCGTCGCCAAGGCAGCCGAACTCCCCAAATCTCCGCGAAGGGGACAAGGATCCAGCGATCGGACGCGACCCAGCGCCGGAAAGCGATTCTGCTTTCGGCTAAGTTGCTCTCACCACCCGAGCATCGAGGACGCCAGCCAAAGCAACTGGTCGCAACGACGAGAGCCGACATCCGCTCCGTCCGGAAGCCGCCGCAGCAAACGGACCGCAACGGCCGCCACCACCGCAGCAAACACCGCCGATACTTCCGACACCGCTGCAGCAGCCGTTATCCAAGACGACGACGATAGGTCAGCCCACTCGGCCCTCGACATCGACCGCACGCGTTCCCTCGAGACCGACCGATCCCCGTACTCCGACCGGTCAGCCCGAGGCCGCCACCGCCTGTCTTGGTGGAGGTCGAACTCGGGCTGCACAAGCTCATCCCGCATGCGGCCGTCCACATCAGTCACCGCTATCGCCTCTGAACACCCGAGGGACGTTAGATGCTGCGCTTTAACGCGGACGGGCAGCTCCGGTCAAGCCGTCGCTTGCCGGGCGACCCCTCTTCCGGAGGGGTGATGTAACGAGGCACACTCGCCTCGTTATTACCGGCCCGACCGACCATCTGTCGGGCCGACGAACGGCGCTTAGCACCAACCAAATTATCCAAATTCGCGCGCCGCTGCTATCATGCGCCGCCGCTATCGCGCGCTGCCGCTATCACGCGCCACTGCTATGGCGCGCGCTGATTGGCGTGCCGCTTGATCGTCGCCGTATCAGTCGTACCGAATATAACTACCATATAAGACAGCGGCGATCTGGCGGACGTTCACCAGACCGATCCGTACCGCCGTTCGAACTTGACACTCTATGCTGAGAGAGAGAATCACCAGACCGTTTCACTCTGCCTTCTAAATTCCAACTACCCGACCGACGTCTAAAAACACGAGATTACGTACGCAATCCCGACCAAGTGTGCTTGGTGGGATACCGATTTTTTTTTTCAAACAGATCGATTTAAAAATCGATTTGAATCACGGAGAAGAAAATCAATCTTTAAAAAATCGGTTTATAAAAAATCGGTTTATAAAAAATCGATTTCAGAAAATCGATTTGAATCGGTATGCATGGAGAATGAGCCACTCATTAAAGTATATTATCTGTCAAATTTCTACACTCTAAAGTAAACCTGGCGTAATTCATATAGTTTAATATGAATTAAAGAAATTAAATTTTAATATGAATTAATGAAATTAAACATATGTATTTTTTTGGTGTGTTCTGTGTATGGCCGAACAAAATAGAATAAGATCTTTAAATCTTTGTGCTAAGGATTTAATTAGTTTGATTAAACATTAATAAAGGGTTTTTAAACGTTATTAAATAAGAAATCTCGTTTACTATTATATGCATATACATACAATATGTATGTATACAATGTATATTATTATATGGAGTGGCTGTGATTTTTTGGTTCGCGCGTTTTGTTCTGCTGAAAATTCTCGCCCATGGAACATCGGTCTAAAAGCAACATAATGTGCATTGTGCAACCATTGAGTGAGTTCAAATGTTACAACTAAAAGAAGTAAAAAAAAAACTATATTACTACTAGAAACTGAAAAAATCGTGTTGGCGATTTTCAGAATTTACAGATCGATCCTTAAATCGATTCAGTTCCAGAAAATCGATTAGAAATTGATCTTTTAGGCTCTGATTAATCGATCTTCGATTAAATCGATTTAAAATCAACATCCCTAGCTTGATGTCTAGTCGCCTTCCGTCTTCCTGGGTTCGTGCGTGCGCAGACTCAGTCGAGCGTGCTCGGCCATTACTAGCCTCCACCCGCCGCGCCGCCCCGAGTCAGGGGTTCGTCTGTTGGCGCTTCGCTGAGCGTACTCAGTCTCCGGGCGATCCGTCCAGCGACCAAAGATCAGGGACGGTATGTTCGTCGTCTCTACTGAGTGTCTGCAGCACTTGATCGCCCTCCGTCACGGATGTAGGGAAAAAGGAAAGCGCGTACGTCTTCCCGTCGAGTCCTCGGCCTCGACGGAGATCCTTTCGCGCATTTCGCAACTTGCGAGCAAGCGCTCGACCAGGAGTCATAGGGCCAGAGCACAGACTTTTGCATAACACATAATACACAACGCATAAAAGAATCAACTAATCAGAGTTCTTCATTTCTGTCCTGAGGAGGGAAATGAAGAAAACTAATTGGTTTATTCTCTTATGCGTTATGTATTGTGTGTTATCCAAAAGCCTGTGCTCTTGCCCGAAGTATCCGAGCGTGCAACCATCTTGACGCATGCGATCGCAAGCAATTCATTGGGCAATAATTGTCCAAGACGCCCAACGTTGCGAATCGCGGCTAATCGCCGCTTCGTCGCCGATTCCGATCCGCGTACGCGTCGCGCAATAGGCCACGCCTATCAAGCGGCCTATCCGTACGACATCACATGTACTGCATCACACCGCATTGTACCGCAGCGCCTACCGACCGCAATCCGCGACAGCACCTTCAAGGCCGAGTTATTATATTTATATAGAGCTATAATAAAGCTAATTTATATCTCAGACATCTGGCTATGTTTCTCCTCACTAAACCCGGACTCCGACGAGCTTTATCCGCGAAAGACGCATAGCAGCGATCGAACAGCGGAGTTCGGCCGTTACAGTATAAAAAAATTATTATATAGCATGTTAAGCTATATAAGAAACTGCTTAAATTCTTGAATTACTCCATTAATTTTTTTTCTTACAAAAGTTATGAGCCTTTAAATTTTACTTATTTAAAATATAAAGAAAAATATTAATTTAATTAGTTTGTACGTAATGTGTATAACAAAATATAAATAATGTAGTTCGTAAATTATTTTTCATTCATTCATTCATTCAATATTTTCATATTTTTCATTTATAATATACAGGGTTATCGAAAAATATCGGACACCCCTATTATCTCCAGAAGTACGCGCTTTTACGGAAAATAACTCGAATTAAAGTTGTAGGGATCATGAAGTGAGTGCAAAAGTTCGTGCGGAGTTTGCGAGTAAAAGTCACACAATGATTAGGCAAACAAAAATCTTTATTCAATCAATGATATATTCTCCATCGTTTTCTATAATCTTTTCCCAACGTTCTGGCAGCATACGGATGCCTCGATCATAAAAACTGCGCAGTTTAGATTCGAAGAACGAAGAGACGCCGTTTTTTAAGGCCTCCAAAGAGTCAAAGTTTTTTCCATTTAAATAATTTTGCAATGACCGGAACAAGTGATAGTCAGTGCGATATCAGGAGAATACGGTGGATGCGTTAAGACATCCCATTTCAGGGTCTTCAGTTTGCGCAGCGTCTTTTTCGAAACGTGTGATCTGGCGTTGTCGTGATGAAAGACGACTCCCTTGCGATTTGACAAAATCGGACGTTTCTCTTTTATTTCTCGATTCAGATTGGTTAATTGGCGACAGTACTTGTCCGAATCAATCGTTTCGCCAGCGGGGAGAAGCTCGAAATAGATTATGCCCTTGCAATCCCACCAAACAGAGAGCATCACCTTCATCGGGTGCAAACTGGCCTTTGGCATTGCGTCACCATGCTCACCTGATTGTTTCCATGTCCGTTTGCGCTGAACATTGTTGTAGAGGACCCATTTCTCATTGCCCGTCACTAGTCGATCCAAAAATCGACTCGTTATTGAGCCGCCCGAGTAAAGAAACGGCTGCAGAAATTCGCTTGATTTTGTTCTTCTCGGTCAGCAAATGGGGCACCCATATATCGAGCTTCAAATCGAATCTCATCTTTTTTAAACGCCGAAAAGTGGTTGATCGGTCAACGTTTAGTGCTGTAGCAACTTCTTCTGTTGAAATCCGCGGATTATTGAGCACTAAAGTACGCAAAACATCGTCATCAATGTCAGAAGGTCGACCAGAGCGTGGCTCGTCTTCAAGGTTAAATTCTCCGCGCCGAAATTTAGCAAACCATTTTTCCACAGTTCGTTTAGCTGGTGCCTCATCCAGATAAACATCCTGAATGTTTTTTACGGCTGCGGCAACGTTTATTCCCTTCCGAAACTCGTAAAGCATAACATACCGTAAATGCACCTTATCGATATTCATTTTTAAAGTGATATTTCTCGAAGCAGTTTGTATGAAAACAAATGATTTTTTTTTAATAACAGCTGAAGACGTCACCTTTCCAACGTTATATAATATGTAGATGGAAGTATTAATGACAACACTTTACGACGCTTATAACTCCATCTATTGAAACTCCGCATGAACTTTTGCACTCACCCAATATATAAAAGATAAATGTGTGTTAAATATGACATAACATTATAAGAAAGTTGTCCTCCCCGAAAATTACGCACACATAATCATTCATACACATGATAATTTCCACAGGACGTCCAAATATTTTGTGCCAAAAGCTAACAGTGCACTTTCACTCTCCGGTATGTAGGAAAATAGAAAAAAAATAGTTTAATAGCAATCTCGTCCTGGAATACTTTCGTTCTCCCCGAAAATTGTGAGCATACCACCATACTCAGACAGATTATAATTACTTCCGGCACTCACAGCGCTCTGTGCCAAAAACTGACAATGCACTTTCACTCTCTGGCATGTGGGAAAATAGAAAAAAAGTTGTTTAATAGCAATCGCGTCCCGGAACACTTTCGTTCTCGTCGTATCCCGGAACGAAAGTGTTCCGGGACGCGATTGCTATTAAACAACTTTTTTTCTATTTTCCCACATGCTAGAGAGTGAAAATGCACTGTCAGTTTTTGGCACGGAGCGCTGTGAGTGCCGGAAGTAATTATAATCTGGCTGAGTATGAAGGTATGCTCACAATTTTCGGGGAGGACGAAAGTGTTCCTGGACGAAATTGCTATTAAATTATTTTGTTCTATTTTCCCACATGCCAGAGAGTGAAGGTGCATTGTCAGTTTTTGGCACATAGCGTTGTGACTACCGGAAGTAATTATAATCTGTCTGAATGTGGTGGTATGCACACAATTTTCGGGGAGAACGAAAGTGTTCCGGGACGAGATTGCTATTAAACTGTTTTTTCTATTTTCCCACATACCAAAGAATGAAAGTTCACTATCAGTTTTTGGCACAAAGTATTTGGACGTCATGTGGAAATTATCATGTATATGAATAATTATATGGGCGTAATTTTCGGGGAGAACAACTTTCTTATAATATTATGTCATATTTAACACAAATTTATCTTTTAGTATATGTATTTACATTTATATTAAGTGGTTTTATTTTAAATAAAGGCTATTTTCAATTTTTGCTCGAAGAACGTTCCAAACTTCAATGTCGTTACTTTATGTTACAACTTTTATTCGAGTCATTTTCCGTAAAAGTGTGTACTTCTGAAGATAACAGAGGGGTCCGATACTTTTCGATAACTCTGTATAATAACGCGCTGTTGATTACGTGTTAAGCCTAATACAGCTAAATTCATTACTTTAATAAAATTACTTTAATAAAATAATAAATTTACCAAAAATTACGGACCAGCATTCGGAACAATTAAGAAACAATTAAGAAACAATTAAGAAACATTCACGGTTTTTTCGAAATCCGATCGTCTCTAAAAAATCTATTTATTGAGATATAAAATCTCCTTGAAATTATATTATAACGACGTGCTCTCCGATCGTTCTCTCTGTAATTCTACGTACACTTCGCGCGAATCAATTGCCGTATTCATTTTGCAGTATTCCCACCTAATTGACAGAAAAGACACAATTTAACGGTAACATTAATGAACATAAAAATTTACACTTAATATACGTTTACATTTAATGTAAAAATTTCTGTAACACACATATCTACCTATGACCCTTACGATCCTCGATGGCGAATTTATTAAAGAGCATTATATCCCCATTTGGATTTTCTTTCTGCATAGCATCCTCTTCTGTTTTATTACCAATACGATGGTATGAAACTATAGCCGTGATGTTCTCGATATCGGTTAGGAAAGTATCAAACGTCATCGCCGCGATGTTATAAAACACCATCCGATCGTTCCTTCGCTTAGGCAAACTTAAATAATATTTCAAATAATTAACAATTTCAACACTAATCAAACTGAACTGATTCGAGACCTAAACATTTATACTTACATGCACTGAATCGTGAAGAGTGTCGTCGAATTACTCAGAAATATTTTGAGGGACAGTGTTCCGAATGTCTTCGGCATACCCTCGGACGTAATCACTGATGCTCTCAGAGGCTTGCCTAAAAGGTACAATAATTAGTAACAAAAGAATCATTCTTGACAAGGTATATTTCTCTTTTAAGGTTTCTTGTCCTTCGTTGTGATATTTGATTTAAAAGAGGGACTAGTCAGAAAGAAGAAAAATACAGACTAAAAGTTCTTACAAAATATTTTGAGATAAAAAAAATATCCTTAATCCTTTGAAGCAAACATTTCTCTGTTCAAGTTTTTCATGAAAATTTGCATATAATGGTTTTTGGTGTCGCTGATTATGAATCCGCTGTCGGAATTTCGAAATTCAAGAAGACGAATCCAATATGGCGGACAAAATTTTAAAAGATTTTCGATTTCCATGAAAATTCGTAGGTGGCTTTAAGGTCGCTGATTACGGATTCGCTGTCGTCTGTGCACAAAAGAAAGAAGCTTTGTGGGCACTCAGAACAAAAATAAAAAGTCCAAAAAAATAAAATAAGAGAAAACAAAAAATTATGCATTAAAAGCATTAAAATAAAAAAAAGAAAAGAAAAGAAGTGGAAGAAAAGGACAACAAAAATAGCAAAAGGACAAAAGATAACAGCAACTAAAAAACAACAACAAACGGATAAAAAGAAACAAAATAAGAAATAAGACAAAAATAAAAATAGATACTTTTTTTATTTCTTTTTTAATTTCCAGTATTGGATATTGTTACTTATCGAATTTCGTAGGTTGGCAAAACTGCTCCAATTCTGACAACGGATTCATAATAGCGATTCTGAAAATTTCTATATATCAATTTTCATGAAAATAAAAATTTTTTTAAATTTTTGGTCCGTCATATTGAATCCGCCAATTTGAATTTCAAAATTCCGACAAAGGATTCATAATCAGCGATCCCAAAAACCTTTAAATGCAAATTTTCATGAAACTTTTGAATAGAAAAATGTATCTTCACAGTTTTAAAAGGTATTGCATATATGCAACACTATGCCGCAAAGGGTTAAAGTAATACTTACAATTGGTCAAGATCTGTAAAATAATTCAGACGCTTTTCTTCTGTTCTAACAATCAATAAATAACCATAAAATTAACGTGACAATATCACGAGAAAATATAAGTTAAAAAGATAAGTTACCACGTCAATTTCACGGCAATTTATTTATTGTCAGAAGTAAAGAAAAGTATTCGAACCATTTTATCGATCTGTTTGAGTGTTATTTTACGGATGACTATATATTTTTTTCCAACACGTTTTGCAAAAAGTTTTAGCATAAAGGAGGAGGGTCCCTAAGGCCTGTTTTCGGCACCCTTCAAAATTGGACCAAAATGGCTGGAATCACTTTCTTATACCTTTGGAAGTAATATTTAGTCAATTCCAGCCTAAACGGAAGTACTTAGAATGTATACTTCAAATATACATGGTGCATCAATGCACCCGTATCAAGCATTTCTTTGGAAAATTAAGCGTTTCTGAGAAAAATGTTTCAGATAAAAGTTGTATGGCTTCAACGAGGACATAAGATGGTGTCATTAGTTTGACCTTGGATAGTCATTTGAAGGTCACGTGAATGTCGATTTCAATATTTTATATAGAACCCCCTATTTTTACATATCTTGTAGCTTATCTCGAGAGCTTTCCAAAACACTTATAACTAAGTCATTTTTCATTAAGTACTTTGCGAGTTATAAAGCTTCTTACAGATAGATTTGTAGAAACGTACTTAAGGAGATCCGAGATTGAAATCATATTATTTATTCTTGTTGATTCTCCACACGTGAACCAGGTCCCTGGGTACGCGCATACACGTATTTTGTGTATCTCTGACATTAAGATGTGAGATCGGGTGCGATAAGGCCATAGACATAAGCAGAACTTGGTCTATTGAATTAAAAGCTTAAAGGATCGTAGTTGCTCAAAACGGTGCATACAGTTCTTAAAACAGTTCTTTTCAAAACTTCGTATTTAGCATTGCGGCAGAAAATACATCAGTCATTTCTTTCAGAAGTATTTGTAATAAGTGTTTCTACGTGATCTACGATAATGTTTTGGAAAGCTCTCGAGATAAGCTACAAGGTATGTAAAAATAGGGGGTTCTATATAAAATATTGAAATCGACATTCACATGACCTTCAAATGACTATCCAAGGTCAAACCAATGACACCATCTTATGTCTCCGTTGAAACCATACAACTTTTATCTGAAACATTTTTCTCAGAAACGCTTAGTTTTCCAAAGAAATGCTTGATACGGGCGCGCTGATGCACCCATGTATACTTGAAGTATACACTCTAAATACTTCCGTTTAGGCTGGAATTGACTAAATATTACTTTCAAGGGTATAAAAAAGTGATTCCAGCTATTTTAGTCCAACTTTGAAGGGTGCCGAAAACAGGCCTTAGGGACCCTCCTCCTTCCTCATTTCTGACACTATCATTCAAGATAGTCACAATGAAGAAAAATACAGAAATCTTGACAAGAAACTTAGTTCTTCAGGCATTCTGATACCGCAGAAAGGTGATTCGGCTCTAGTAGGCAGGTAGTAAATTCCCAAAGGTCCACGATTAGCTGCGTAGCCCATTTCCTGATTCCGTTCGATCGTTTCCATAGGAAAGCACATTCCTCTTATGTAAGATATCCTATCCGGACAAGGCCACGCAGCGAATTTACATTCCTTGTTCTGCGATTGGACGCTCTCCATAAAGTAGTACCAAGCTCTCAGGTGACTGCATGCTATATTCCGGTCCAACTGATTTTCTGAAATGTGCAAACGAACAGAAACGAATCAGATACAACTTCACATAAAAATAAGTGTCCTTTAATATATTGCATGTCGTGGTGTTAATTTATAAAAAATTAATTAATAATTGAATTATCAAAGATATTGATAAATAAGTATAATATGATAAATGACAATATGATAAATAAGTATAAATTGAGATGCATAAATAAATTGAGATGAACTGCGTTTCGTCTATCGGCTATAAAACCGATTCCTGAATTGTAATGAATTATATTCATTTATATATAATGTAATATAATAATTTATATATAATTTATAATTATATATATAACTATTTATATATATAATTTATATATAATATAATATAGTGAAACACAATTATGGCAGTGATACCAACCAATTACCAATGATTTAGTGAAATCTACTCCAACTGAAATGAGTACCGGACAATGGGAATTTTCCTTATAATTTTATGATCATAGAACTTTGTTGTTCTAACACAAAAATTGCTCAGAATTTTCCCAAGTGTAGCATAAGTCCCGATAGGAATTTGTAAATTTATCTTACAGTCGGTTATCCAATTAAGATATCAATCGAAAATCCCATTTTTGCTCAAAATTAGATTTTTTTACCTAAAATTAAAATAGAAATATTATAAAAATATATTTCTCGTCTTTTTCAATTGGTAATGTCAATATACTTTTATGGTATCAAACTATTTCTTACACCACAATTATTGTATTTAATAGAATATAAAATTCAGAAAAATAAAATTTGATACTTTTGGCTTTCGCGGTGTAGAGAAATACTTGATTGATTTCCGAATTGATGCCACATCTATCATAAATTTACTTCTAATGTTTCATAAAAATTCCATTTTACTTCTTCACAGAGAGAAATAACCTAAAATTCCGAGATGCTTTCTTTTTTATATGTATACTTTTAAGGATAATTAAGTGCTTATTAGATAATTAGTTGGTGTACTGTAAAGGAATAGAACAGAGTAAAATGAGATAAAGCAGAAGAATAACAGAAACAAAGTATTGTATACTATATTTCTCTGAAACTAAAAATATGAATTGCCATGTTGAATTAACTTCTATGTCGCTATCTTTGTTTAGATTGTTAGAATATTTGTACATTTCTAAGAATTCTCTGTATTTTCGAAGGAAATAAATATTGGTTTTGGTTAAAATTGAAGTTTAATCAAATAAAATTTATTTCTATATGATGTGTGTACTAGTGTCGTTTGTGTTAAATGTTTCAGGTGCAGACTCATTCAGATTTATGATAGTAAATTTATGGGACTCTGGTTATTCTTGAGAGATATACGAATATTAGTTTTATGTATTTTAGTAAGGCTGTACAAACTCTAGGAGACGACAGATTTTTTAGATTAGGGCAGCTTTATGACGTCTGAGAATATAGTACATTCATTTCCTACATCTCCCTCCTCTCATTTCATTCATTAACTGATCGTCTAACAAACATTTGCAAGGAAACCGTCAGAATTGTCCTTCACCGATTTCTATAAGCATCGAATATATTAGTAGAGAAGAAGAGATCCATATTTTTTTATATGTGCTTTTGCCAAAGTTTAAAAATTGAAACAACCTCTGTATTGTCATCATCAATTTTACGTATAAAAATAATTTTTTATTATGATGTTCATGATTTTCTAATATAATATCCACGATTTTCAAGCGGGTTATGTACTACACATAATATACGAATTTCTGTTTAAGGATACGTGTTTGGTTATCGGGTCAAAAAAATCGATTTTTTTTACATATTTTGAAAGATAGAGGTCTTAAAAATGTGCCCTTAAAATATTATGTCAAAACTCGAATAATTTTGAAAGTTAGAAACCGTTATATAGGGTGTCCGGAATGTGATCATTAATATTTTGTGTACTGGTAGATTAGGTGTAGCCGAGAAGAAAAGTCATGTACCGTAATGTCAAATTGGCAATAGTTATCGAGTTATTAATTGAAACATGTGAGCTAATGAGCGCATAGAGAGCGCTGGACGGCCGCCTCTTGTCGCTTGCGCTCGCTCGCTCGTCGTTCGCGCTCGCTCGCTTCTCGTCGCGTGTGCATGCTTCTTGTCACTTACGGTTGCCTTTCGCCGCGCGAAATAAGCCATCTTCTTATACACGGAGCCCGTCCTGTCGCTTTCTTGTGCGCTCATTCGTTTACACATTTTAATTAATTACGGAATAAATATTGAAAAAATTGTAAAATGGCACAGGACTTTTTTAATTGTTTTAACGAGTTCTACCAGTACACAAAATATTAATGATCACATTCCGGACACCCTGTATAACACAGCGCAGATAGCGAGGTAGGTAGCACGTAGCATCCTTCTTTTCAAAGCCGTTATGGATCGAGTCAGATCGGTTTAAAAACGTCTGTAGATGTAAACAAGATAATATAATGCTATACTATCCTATCTGTATTTGTATACAGGATTTGTCAAAAGTGTGGAAACCCTTAAATAATTTTTGTAAAAATGAAAATATCAAAAAACGGTAAAACACGCATTTAGATTTTTCAAAAAAGCTACCCTGTAACATGGATACCGATCATTCCCCACCCTCTGGTACGCAGAGGTAAAAGGGAGGTTGAAAATTTGTAATTGGACTAAGGGTCGAGTGGGGGCTCATTTGAAAGCTCTTTTCATAATAAACACGCCCATAAAATTTTAAATCACTACGCCCCACTAAAAATGGCGGCCGTTCAAATTTCGAAATTTCATGCACTTAGTGTTATCCAGGATCAACTGCGTGGAAGCGGCATGAATCTGATTCCGCGCGCGCGCGCGCGCGCGTATGTGTGTGTGTGTGTGTGTGTGTGTGCGTGCGCGTGCGCGTGTGTGCGTATGTGTGTGCATGCGTGTGGCTGAACAAGTGTGAATGTGTTGTATGTATAGTCGTGATAGGTTGCAAAACAGACGATTGAAAACTGTCATCTCTCTTTAATAATTCAAAACCTTTTACTCCGTGTTTTAAAATAAATTTTACTCAATGTACTAAAGTAAATGCTGAAAGTGACTGCCATTTACTTCCTGACAATATGCCAATCTTTGGTAGAATGCAGAAATGGCCTTTTGAGACAAATCTATGATTCGTCTCAAAAGGTATCAAATCTATTTTATCCCTTATTCGCTGTATCAATTCTTGGATGCTTTCAGGTTTTGTTTTGTAAACCTTACTCTTCAGGTGTCCCCATAGATAATAATCAAGAGGAGTTAGATCTGGTGACCGAGGTGGCCAATCCTCTCCTCCCTCATTTCTGTTCCTTCTTCCTATCCATCGTAATGGAAAAGTCTAATTTAAAATTTGACGTGGCCCTAAACCAAAATGAGCAGGAGCTCCATCATGCTGAAACCATATTTCTTCGAAATTATTTGGAAAAATATTTCGTATGGCTGGAATTATTTGATCTACAAGTAATCTGTCATACCTTTGAACATTCAGATTTTCTTAAAAAAAAACGGTCCTATTAAGTAACCATCTATTATTCCATACCATACATTTATTTTTGTGGGTATTGTGTGTGAGTTTCCCGCACCAAATTCGGATTCTCATCTGACCAGAAACGAAAATTTTGATTATTAACTTCTCCCGTTAACGTGAAAGTTGTCTCGTCTGTAAAAACAATTTGATAAGGGAACATGGGCCGGACATCTATTAGTGCCATCATTCTTTCACAGAAACCTATACGACGCTCCACATCTCCGTCTTGCAATTCTTGAACATATTGTAATTTGTATCCAAGTCCAAACGGACTTGGGAGCAATATCGTGAGTTTGAGCGGTTCTGTTAATAGTAGAATTGGGACCTTCAATAAATGTCTGCAGAACATCAAGTTGTTTTTCTTCGTTAATGGCAGGTCTCCCTGATTTAAGGCGATTGTTTACGCTACCAGTTTCTCTGAAACGTTCCATTGTTTTTAAGATAGTGGACTTATTAATTCGACGATTCGGATACGTTTCATTAAATAATTGAGCGACAGCAGCGTACGACCGCTCGTTATTACCCCATCCACGCATCATGAGGATAGTGATTCTTTCACATTCCGACAATTCGCCAGCCATTTTTAAAACGTTTAATTTTTAATCTGCCTAAGATCTGTGAGAACTGATTTTAAGTAGCCGTGAGAACTGATTTTAAGTAGCAGTGAGAACAACTGATTTTAAGTAGCCGTGAGAACAATTGATTTTAAGTAGCAGTGAGAACAACTGATTTTAAGTAGCAGTGAAAACAACTAATTTTAAGTAGCCGTGAAAACAACTGATTTTAAGTAGCAGTGAGAACAACTGATTTTAAGTAGCCGTGAGAACAACTGATTTTAAGTAGCCGTGAGAACAACTGATTTTAAGTAGCAGTGAGAACAACTGATTTTAAATAGCAGTGAGAATAACTGATTTTAAGTAGCCGGTTGATCCTGGGTAACACTAACAAGGAGTTGACGCAACCTGTTTCATCGATTTCAACACGAGTCATAGCACACTCAATAGCTATGATGCCGTGTATAAACACCCTAACATAATATGCGTGAATGCGTCTTTGTTTACGAGTAATTTGCAATTAAAGTTTGGCTCGCGGAGCCATGCCCACATAGGGTGCAAGTTACGACACTCTTTCACGAAGTCGGCGTGGCTGAGCAGGCAGAGGCTCCCGCGCCGCGAACACTTTTGCGCCGACGACGGCGTTCGAGTCCCGTCGACGACAGGTTCGTTTTTTTTTTTCGTATGTAAAGACATGTAACAAATATTTTTATATTGTTCTTATGTATAATTCCTTATTTTGTTTCTACGCTATTAATCAAGGCTAATTAGAAGAGTCAGGTCTTTCAAATATGAACACAACTTTTTTATTAATTACAATAAAATGTTTTTATCGCGTAAATCTATTTCGCATAAATATTTCGTATGGTATGGGAAAGAAATGGCCAGACAGTGATTATTTTGTGTGAGAGAAACCCGAGAGCCGTTAGAACCGTTACAAGTGGAAAGGAACCCTCTTCCCTTTCCCCTTCTCGCAGAGGGATTCTCATGTTTTGTGACGTGCTCGCTTCATTCTCTGGGCAGTCTTCGTAACGTGAACAGTGAAAAACTCGTGTTAAAAATGGAAACCACGTTTGTAGATAAAGTAACGATCAGCTATGTGCAAAATCTAGCAAAATGTGATATTACGAAAGAAGAGTTGACGGACGCAATAGAATATCTTCGAGGTAAATATATTGAATGTGTGAGCAATGGAAAGATATATTTGTACGTATTGTTATTGGCTTTGTATACAATATCAATTATATTGAATTCATATTTGCAGATGTCCTGATACAATTTCCGTCCAGTCTTGTTGACAGTCGCGAGGTATTTTACAACCTCAATCAAATATGTTTTCCACCAACTATAGTCAAAAGTGTATTTGTGCAAAAAATTATGCGTTCATTACATGCAGTTGGTGCAAAAAACTATTATGTTTTACATGCTTTTATACGGTATTCCATCCGCAGAGTTGCGACAGCATGACCACATTTTATAATACATAACTTTCATTTGTATGCCTTATATTTGTCTTATGTGTGTGTGTGTATGTGTTTTGATACGGACAAAAACATTTTATTGTAATTAATAAAAAAGTTGTGTTCATATTTGAAAGACCTGACTCTCCTAATTAGCCTTGATTAATAGCGTAGAAAAGAGAAATTATACATAAGAACAATATAAAAATATTTATTACATGTCTTTACATACGAAAAAAAAACGAACCAGTCGTCGGCGGGACTTGAACGCCATCGTCGGCGCAAAAGTGTTCGCGGCGCGGGAGCCTCTGTCTGCTCAGCCACGCCGGCTTCGTGAAGGAGTGTCGTAACTTGCGACCTATGTGGGGCACGGCTCCGCGAGCCAAACTTTAACTGCAAATTACTCGTAAACAAAGACGCATTCACGCATATTATGTTAGGGTGTTTATACACGGCATCATAGCTATTGAGTGTGCTATGACTCGTGTTGAAATCGATGAAACAAGTTGCATCATCTCTTTGTAAGTGCATAAAATTTCGAAATTTGAACGGCCGCCATTTTTAATGGGGGAGTTGTAGCGACTTAAAATTCTAAGGGTGTGTTTGTTATGAAAAGACCTTTCAAATGAGCCCCCACTCGACCCTTAGTCCAATTTAAAATTTTCAACCCCCCTTTTACCCCCGCGTACCAGGGGGTGGGGAATGATCGGTATCCATGTCATAGGATAGCTTTTTTGAAAAATCAACATACATGTTTTACCGTTTTTTGATATTTTCATTTTTATAAAAATTATTTAAGGGTTTCCACACTTTTGAAAAACCCTGTATATATTTGTATTTGTGTTTAAAAGGTCAAAAATGATTATTGAATTCAATTAGTGTATGTTCAGTGCTCGCTCGATCTTTGCTTCAGAAAGACGTGCTTAGCGCAGCAAGAAGTGGATAAAAAATTATCAAACAATGATTCTTAAAACAATGATAGTAATAGATATCACGATTGGACTGCAAACAAAATTATTTGACAAGTATCACAACAGCCAGCGCTTGAACAAAGCTGAGAGAGCGCTCGCTCAAGCAACCAAAATGGTTTGAATGGCACAAAAAACTAAGAAGCGGCATTACAAACTTTTTATGAAAAACAGGAGAGTTTATTATATGACCTTGAAATAGCTGATTAGCATCAAACAATTGTATTTAACTTTAAGTATTTAAACTTTTGTAGTTCACTGTACTTAAATCTTTAAACGCATTTTGCTCGGAACATTTTTTTCACTTGGCCATCACGATATCTTGAAAACGGATAGTCCGATTGATTTCAAATCGGATTCACATCAAAATTTGCAGGGAATATAAAACACAAGTCTCTTTCTAACATGAACTAAAATTATTTTATTATAGCTTGTACTTTTTTTGTTATTGTAAACAATATGACCAATTTTCATCGAAAAATCGATATTTATTTTTCGGAATATTTTTTTAACTTCTAATTTTTCTTTTCGCTTTATTTATTTTAGTTCATGCCATAGTCACATGTATGAAGATTATGTATCACTTTAGTTTTGTTGTTTCAAATCACCCGAAGACAAGTTAGGATGGTCGCCATGAAGAGAAAATTTTTCTGGGGTAACTCCCGACAAGCAATTTTACGGGCGCATTATTTAATAAATTTTTCCTTTAAAAATCATAAATGTAGTAAAATATTAGGAGTACAAGCCTATATAAATTAAATATTGATAGAATTTACAGTTTAAGAAAAAAAATTCCGGAAAAATCTATTTCTGAGCGCTGCAAAAGCAAATGTACCTTTAAACAAGATAAAGATCATGTTGAACATGTTCGTTTAAGCTAAAAACAGCTTAGTTTAATGTTTTACGTATTAAAAAATAGTTTTTGATAATTTACAATGAAATCTGGAAAAAAAATCTAGAAATCGTGGTTTACTGCTCTTTCTTTACTAACTCTCTTCCTTTACCAATCAGAATTCATCATTTTTCTAGGAAATCGCAATTAGATTCCAAAACGTTTTCTATATGAGATAGCCTAAACAAAATAGCGTGTCAGGAAAAAATATATGTCCCAAGCATCCCACTCCCCCTTCTCTCTTTCAGATTGGATCATAGGTCATAGATTGGATCTCACTACAATAATTGTATTCAGTCAGAGCAAAACTCATTACTGATGATCATTACTGATTATTCATCTTGTTAACGACATAATAAACAAAACATAATTAAGTTAAGCATCGATTACTCAATGCTCGTTTACACAAAGAAAGAAATAGTTAATATAATTGGAATTATAATTATTTTCAGCTCCTACTATATATTTTCTTGTTATAGTAAAAAAAAATATAACATAGTCACAATATGTATGTAGAATTATTATTGTCATATTAATGCTAAAGTAACACTTATTACCAAAATAGTTCTCTTAATTATAATTCTTTCACTATATAATTATAATTACCAACACTAGATATTTTTTTCAATGTAACCGCATTTTTATGGAAATTAGCGCATACCTTGTAAATGACTGACCACTACCGAATTCTTGATGTCGACACAGCCGGGTTGTTCTTGGCCACCGTTGGGAAAGAAGTCGATATGTCCAAGCGGCTTGAGCAAGCCAAAGCCATCAATGAGATCCGGCGAGCCATCTGTGTGAATGACGTCAACGAGATTGGCGTCGGAGGCATCTAACTTCCTTGATTTCTCTCTGAACAAGTGATGCCTGAAGAACGGTGAGGCTGGGTCAAGGCCCGTTATGCGGCCCAGCATCAGATTCTTCTGTTTCAATATCTCCGAAGCGCAGCCGGCCACATGAGCGCCCAGACTGAAACCAATTACGTGAATATCGACGGGACTAATTCCTAGATTAATGATGTCTAGAAGAATCAGAGCCAGTTGTCGACCGACCAACTCGCTATTTGCCACCGCAAGACTATAACTGGTACCAGCGCCTTTCGTCCAGTCCAGGACGATGATATTTAAATCCTCCTGTAAATGGGACACAATGTACAAAATTCAATAAAGAAATATGAATTAATTTATATAAAATAGACTACGATTAATTAATGATTTTAACTTAAAAAAGGAGGATAAAGTTCACAAAGACCGATCACTGATCATTAGTGAGAATTAAATTATTGAATTGAATTATATTGAAAATATAAGAGGATAATAATATTTGATAATGCAAACTAAATGATTAAATGAATCAATAGAAAAGAATCAATAAAAAATAATACTGAATTGAGTACAATTCTTCTACCCTAACTAGAATATGCGCTGGGCAATGGGGGTTAAGCCTGCCAACTAAAATTGTTCTTATTTTGCACTTGTATAAAAATGTTGTTGTCTTTGATTCGTACTGTATAATCTAATAATTAAATATAATATGTTAGTAAAAAATTTTATATCTGTCTTTCACATTAGATCACGTAGTCTAAAAACAATAGCTACTCTCATGCCAGTTTATGTACAGTTTACTCATTGAACATTTTCCTTTTCTTTCTTTTTCTCTTTTCTCTTGATATTTCGTGAAAGATAATTAAGATAAGTAATTAACAAAATAATTGTTAAACATTACTAGATTAAAGAGCAAGTTCACGCCAATTTTCACGCTGAGATCGCTACCGCTGCCTTTGTAACCGTGTATCAACACCTTGAACGGCTTAGAGGTATTAAAATGAGAATGCTTGATAGATTGCATGTCATCGCCATATTCCAACAATTGTGAATCCTGCTGGTCGGCATGTGTGTAGAGGAAGAATTTAGTTTGAATTACGTTAGGATGCTCGGGCGGTCGTTTCATAGGTAGATGCGATTGTGGGGCCGCAAAACAGCCTACAAAATCTAAAAAAGTTTTATAAATTTTGCATTAGAAGCGAAGTTCATTTTCTTTTGAAAACTTCGAAAAATTATTTCTTTATAAAAAAGAACTGCGAATAGCCTCTTTTTGAGAATAAGAAATAGTTATAATCTAAAATTTTAATCAACCCTAACTATTAGGGGCTTGCATGTATTCTGATCATTTTTTCACTTTAAAAAGGCATTTATTGAAAAAAATCGGTACAATATATTTCAATCAAAATATTTTCCATCATTTTCTACAACTTTTTCCCATCTTTCTGGCAACATGGCGATACCGTGTTGAAAGAACGATGTTGGTTCGGAAGCGATCCAATCATCGATCCATTTTCGCACTTCTTCAGCATTTCGAAACCGTGTGCCAGCCAAGCCATGCTGCATCGATCTGAACAAGTAATAATCAGAAGGCGCTATGTCTGGTGAGTACGCTGGGTGCGGCAGAACTTTCCATTCGAGCTGCAACAGTGTATCCTTCACAACTGTTGTAACGTGAGGTCTAGCGTTGTCATGCAAGAGGATGACTTTGCGTCTGTTACTCGCTATTGCTGGTCTCTTTTGCAACAATACGTCGTTCAATTTGTTCAATTGACGTCGGTAGACATCTGCAGTAACAGTTTCATTCGGTTTTAGCAGCTCGTAATACACTACACCGTGCTGATCCCACCATACGCACAGCAAGACTTTATGGCCATGAATATTTCTCTTTGGTGTCGATGTGGATGGCTCTTCTGGACTAACCCATGACTTTTTGCGTTTGGGATTGTTGTAGTAGATCCACTTTTCATCGCCAGTAACAATAAGCCACAGAAAACTCTTCTTTTTTTGCCTGGCAAGCAATGAAACTGCGATGTTGAAACGGTTCGAAATGGCATTTTCAGTCAATTCGTATGGTATCCATTTTCCCTCCTTTTGGATCTTTTCCATCGCATGTAAACGTCTGGAAACAGTTGATTCATTAACTGCTAAGCTGTCTGAAAGTTCTTTGAGAGTTTGAGCTGAGTTTTCGTCCAATAAGTCTTGCAATTCGTTGTCTTCGAACTTTTTTGGTCCTCCAGGCCGTTCTTTGTCATTGACATTAAAATCACCACTTTTAAACCGTTGAAACCAAAACCGACAATTGGGATATGACGGAGCAGCATCACCATAAATTCTAAAAAGTGTTTGATGGGCTTCGGCAGCAGATTTCTTCAAATCAAACAACAAAAGTAATGAATGTCGAAAATGCAATTTTGAGCGTTCCATGATTAGCGTCTGTATACACTGAATAACTCAATAATACTAAATGGTAAACTGTTATTTTATGTAGAGAAATGTGAAAACCATCGAATTTAACAGTTAGGTTAGGTTGTTTTACATTGATACTTCGCATTTTCACCAATATATGGCGCTGATCAAAATACATGCAAGCACCTAATATAATATATATTTCTTTATTATTTTAATAAAAGTAGTAATAAGACATATCTGCAGTAAAACAATAATTGCTACAGAAATTATATTTTTCTGGTTATAATTATTAGGTGTACAACTTTGCTTCCACCGTTTTCCTATAGATGGCTTTAGCGATAAGTAGTGGTCGAAATAAATAGATCATAGACGTCATGCAATAAACTTGGGCATCTGTCAACATAACCCCATAGAAACATTAGTCGATTTGTGTCTGCATCATAAAGTTATTCTCGATTGAAAATGTCAGTTTACGAGCCAAATTCTCGTCATTTGCGGGAGGTTTTAATTTTCTGCTTCAATATGAAGAAATCTGCGGCTGAGGCTCATCGAATGCTCTCAAATACTTATGGTGAGGGCGCTATTAGTGAAAGAACGTGTCGTGAGTAGTTTCAACGCTTCAAGAACGGTGATCTTCACATCGAAGACCGGCATAGCGGTGGAAGAGAGAAGGTTTTCGAAGATGCAGAATTGGAGGTATTATTTAATGAAGACTTGTGTCAAAGTCAAGAAGAATTGGCACGATCATTGGGAGTGACTCAAGAAGCAATTTCAAAACGCCTCAAAGACATGGGAATGATTCAGAAGCAAGGAAATTGGGTGCCGTACGAGTTAAAACTGAGAGATGTTGAACGGCGTTTGTTTGCTTGTGAACAGTTGCTTAAAAGGCAAAGACGGAAGGGATTTCTGCATCGCATTGTGACTGGGGACGAAAAATGGATTCATTACGATAACCCCAAACGCAGAAAATCATGGACATATCCACGTCGACGGCCAAACCGAATATTCACGGCTCCAAGGTCATGCTCTGTATTTAGTAGGACCAGCTCGGCGTAGTGTATTATGAGCTGTTAAAACCGACTGAAACAATCACAGGCGATCGTTATCGAACGCAATTAATGCGTTTGAGCCGAGCATTGAAAGACAAACGACCGCAATACAACGAAACACGATAAAGTGATTTTGCAGCATGACAATGCTCGACCCCATGTTGCGAAAGTGGTCAAGACATATTTGAAAACGTTGAAATGGGAAGTCCTATCCCACCCGGCGTATTCTCCAGACGTTGTTCCCTCTGACTATCATTCATTACGATAACCCCAAGAGCAGAAAATCATGAGCATATCCACGTCGACGGCCAAACCGAATATTTACGGCTCCAAGGTCATGCTCTGTATTTGGTAGGACCAGTTCCGCGTAGTGTATTATAAGCTGTTAAAACCGAATTGTTTCGATCAATGGCACACGGCCTGATTGATCAGCACTTCCGGTCTTATGAAGAAGTAAGAAATTGAATTGATTCGTGGATCGCTTCAAAAGATGACCAGTTTTTTCAACGCGGGATTCGTACGCTGCCCGAAAGATGAGAGAAAGTAGTGGCCAGCGATTGACAATACTTTGAATCATAAATGTATAACCAGTTTTTTACAATAAAGCCTCAAATTTCGGGAAAAAAACGGCGAAAGCAAAGTTGTACACCTAATATATTACTATTGCAGTAACAGTAACAAACGCTTTTCTTTTACTGCGTGTATAGTTTAAAATATATGTATTTAACATATACAAGATGTTCGGGATCTTTTGGAAACGAAAAATTGTGAAGATTAATCAGATCAAACTAAGAAGAAAAGTCATATACCGTTTTACAAAAATCGCAATAGTTATTAAGTTATTAATGATTGGAAATCAACATATCTAGAGGCTCTTTTTATTGATAACTTGAAAATTTGCCTATTTTTTGTAAAATGGTAAAGGACTTTTTTGTTCAGAATGACCTAATCTACAATTATTAGGTGTTCCGGTTAGTTTTGAGGGCTTAATATAGATGGCTATAGCTACAAATTTACCAGAAATATTTTGAAAGTTGGTACACCATTTTAAAGCTTGGATATTTTTACAAATAATTTGACACATGGCATATGCACTCATGAACATAATCACACTTTTCATGCTATTGAAAATGCAGCATAGTAAAAAGCATTTTCGACATTTACTACTTTATTGTTTTGACTCAAAGAAAACGGCTACTGAAGCCCATCGATTCATCTCAGAAACTTATTCTGACTTTTTTCCATCGGTTGAAACTTGCAAGTACTGGTATCGACGATTTCGGCGTGGTGATTTCAATTTGAAAGACAAAGAACGTTCAGGTTAACCAAAAAAGTTTGAAGATTCCGAATTACAGGCATTATTAAATGAAAATTTAGCTCAAATGTTTCAAGAACTAGCTGAAGCATTAAATGTTGGTAAATCAACCGTTTTAAATCGTTTACAATCAATAGGGAAGATTCAAAAAGAAAACAAATTGATTCCACATGCATTGTCTGAGTTGGTTCAAATTGATTCAAAATAAATTCATTTAACCATTTGCCCTTCATTACTTTCTCGTCACAAAAAGAAGCAGTTCTTGTATTAAATTATAATTGGAGATGGATAAAAATGGACCTACTATGATAATCCTAAACATAAAAGTCGTGGGTAAGTCCAGGACAACCATCGATATCGACTCCAAAACGCAACATCCATGGAAGTAAAGTTTTATTGTTGCATTTAGTTTGACGTAAAAGGCGTTTTATAAGGTATTTTATAAGTTGCTACAACCGAATCACACGGTCACTGCTGTGCGTTATCAACAACAATTAATCGATTTGAATCATATTTTAAATCAAAAACGTCCAGTAATAGCTCAAAGAAAACGCAAAGTGATTTTGTTGCACGACAATACTCAACTGCACGTTGCAAAAACAATTAAGGATACATTATTGGCACTTCAATGGGAGGTCCTACCACACGCCGTGTATTCATCAGACTGTGCTCCTTCTAATTAGCACTTATTTCAATCTATGCAGCACAGCCTTGCTAACTAGCACTTCAAATTATATGAAGAAATACAAAAATGGCTTGGTGAGTGGATTGCTTTGAAAAACAAACATTTCTTTTATCGCGGAATTCACTTGTTTCTCGAAAAGTGGGAAAAAGTTATAGCTAGCGATAGAAAATATTTTGAATAAAATATAATTTAATGCCTCTCAAAAGTAAACGTATTTCTTTTGCAAAAAATCCATCAAAGCTAACCGGGACACCTAATATATGACGGCTATTGTATAATATTTAGTGATAGATACGAGTATATTGAACTTTAAACCCTAAATCTTAAACCTGTCGCTAGGCACAATAACTGTCATATAATTGTAGATTAGGTCATTTAGAACAAAAAAGTCCTTTATCATTTTATAAATACTAATAAGTAGGCAAATTTTCAAGTTATCAATTAAAAGAACCTCTAGATATGTTAATTTTCAATCATTAATAACTGAATAACTACTGTGATTTTTGTAAAATGATACTTGACTTTTCTTTTCAGTTTGACTTGATTAATCTTCACAATTTTTCGTTTCCAAAAGATGCCGAAGATCCTGTATATATGTGGGAAAAACAAAAAGTTTCTACTAAACGAGAATACTTGTCTGAAAAACATTTGAACTATAATATAATTGTTTTTATTTAATCTTCGACAAAGAAATTTAATTAAATTGGCCTTTTTTCTTACCATAGCAGATTTTGGCTCTCCCCTCGCGAGCGGTAATTCTCCTTAACATAGCACGATTCCTGGCCGCAAGAAGCTTGACTGCAAAAGTAAAAATCGATGTTCGACATTGGGAATTTTAATCGCCGAATCAAGAAATATATTCGAGCATTATAAAACGATGGACGTTCTGTCTGCCTCATCGCATCCCACTTATGAACCTTCCTTTCACTTAGCAAAGAAAACACCACAAATAAATTATTGTCCGTGCAGCGTCGCTTTAATATTATCCATGTGCCGGCAAATACAATATCCTGCGCGTTCATAAAATTCCGTTCAGTCTATCGCGATATTATTGTTGCATCACGTAGTTGGAATAGTAACTGCAGTCTACAAAAGTATGTCGTATGCAAATATGGTCGTAAGTACGTTGTAAACCTTCTCGACAGACCTTTGGGAGTGAATTGTCATGAATGTTCATTCCGTATATGCAGTAAATGTCTATATACGTTATATCTGATGATTATACGATCAAAGTATACGATTAACATTATTTTCATCATCGCTAAACTTTTGTTACGCATTCAAACGATATATTGTTTTAAGTGATTAATTTTTTAACAATAATTGTCGCACATATGTGACTTAATTTTATCAGCGATTAAAATACTCTATGAAATTGTGAAGTTGTGAGATGTTTGTCAATAATGATCGTTTATAATTGGAATATTAAAATATTTAATAAAATATTTAATAATATTAAAATATTAAATAGATAAAATATTAAGTATGAAAAGATTAAATTAATATAAAGCATTGATATAAAAATTAAACATTAAATTTAAAATATTAAAAAAACATGAAAATAAATTTATGGTTTTCTGTATAATCAGTTCTGTATAATCAGTTCTGTATAATCAATTCTGAATAAAAGCTGCGATATTCTTGCCTCAATAAATTTCAGAACGCACATCTCTTATGCAATAAAAACTGTTCTTTTTTTAATAATTTTCGAAGAGTAAAGTTTTTTTTATTGGATATCGGATATTGAATATTAGATTAGAATAGATACTGAATTTCATCGCGAAAATGTTGCAATATTGCTTCCACTGATAAATACAAAAAGAATATATGTATGTGTTTTATGTAAGTCCTAAACGAGTTTTCGAAATCTACCGGCGGTAAAGCGAAAGTTTTCACGTTAAGTACGATCGTCAAAGTGTTAACGAATAATGGAGTGCTCGATACAATATTAGCCAATCATTCCGTTCCGATGCCCTATTCTTTTGAGCGATCAGATTAAAAATCGCAAATAATTAACACGTTCACAAGCAGGATTTATTCGACGAACTTTCTTCACAGACTACTTCACAAACTATCTCGAATTTTTGTTTTACGTAATTGTGTAGAATAAATATAGTTCGTTTTTATAGAAAAAAAATGATTGCTATCATTTATGTAGCGTTCATCGTAACGGTATTCACGATTTTTTCACTAGTTCTAATGACTGAACCGAAAAAAATAAATACAATTATATCAGTTTATAATTTTAGCAATTATAAGCAATTATAAACAATTATATCAGTTTATAAAAACTAAATAATAAGATGTAAGAATGAAATTTTCGAAAATCTTTTCCTATGGGAAGATTAAAGTTTTCTTGACTTTTTTGAATGAAACCCATTTTTTATCCATAGTGTTGTAATAAAGATCAAAACAAATTTAATGTGATATGATTTAATGTGATATGAACTTACGTTATTTGTATCAATATTTAACAATGAAAAAGAAATATGAAATGTACAAAATTTGTTTTGTTTAAATAATAATGGTCTGAACAGGTAAGGAATATTATGTTCGCAATATACTATAACGTTAGATGCTCAAGACGCGATGTCAACAAAAATGACATTATAAGTTGCTATTAAATTTGTATATTTTATACGTAATAAAAATATGTAAATTTAAAAAATTGAAAAATGAACTTGACGAGTGTACGTACTCCTACATTCTTATATTGTTATGACTCTGTAAAACGAGTTTTTGTCGTCCGCATTCCATACGGTTACATAACGATTAACGGTGGATCACCATAAATGCGTTCGTGCCGATTGAGATGTAAAACTCGCGAAGCTTCCCGTACAACTCGCGAAGTACCGTACAACTTTTTCCTTTTTTTGCAGTCAAGCGTTGAAACGGTCAAAGAAAAGCACCGGAAACATTCATCATCCAAAAATGTAAAAATCACGAAATGCAAATGCGACGCACGAAATCATTGATAACTTTTAACGGACGTGTTGAAAACGACGTTCCGCTCTTCGACCAAATTCGCGGTATCCGATGATGAGTAATGCATTGTTCCACAAAAGAATGTATCAAAATTTAAAAGGTAAGGCAATTTCCTGAAAAGCCACAATCCAAATTCCAACGACGAAATATGAAGTAAAATATCAAAACTGCCTCGTCGTAGCTAGATGCATTAGTATCTACTCGTTTGAGCACAGCAAGAGCGTATTCAAATGAGTAGACATCAGTACTCCTGTATATACCTAGTCTTTCGTGTTATTATTTATTTTATTTTTATGTATTTATTTTATTTTCATATGTTATATTATATATTGGGTGAGTGCAAAAGTTCGTGCGGAGTTTCAATAGATGGAGTTATAAGCGTCGTAAAGTGTTGTCATTAATACTTCCATCTACATATTATATAACGTTGGAAAGGTGACATCTTCAGCTGTTATTAAAAAAAAAATCATTTGTTTTCATACAAACTGCTTCGAGAAATATCACTTTAAAAATGAGTATCGATAAGGTGCATTTACGGCATGTTATGCTTTACGAGTTTCGGAAGGGAATAAACGTTGCCGCAGCCGTAAAAAACATTCAGGATGTTTATCAGGATGAAGCACCAGCTAAACGAACTGTGGAAAAATGGTTTGCTAAATTTCGGCGCGGAGAATTTAACCTTGAAGACGAGCCACGCTCTGGTCGACCTTCTGACATTGATGACGATGTTTTGCGTACTTTAGTGCTCAATAATCCGCGAATTTCAACAGAAGAAGTTGCTACAGCACTAAACGTTGACCGATCAACCGCTTTTCGGCGTTTAAAAAAGATGGGATTCGATTTGAAGCTCGATATATGGGTGCCCCATTTGCTGACCGAGAAGAACAAAATCAAGCGAATTTCTGCAGCCGTTTCTTTACTCGGGCGGCTCAATAACGAGTCGTTTTTGGATCGACTAGTGACGGGCGATGAGAAATGGGTCCTCTACAACAATGTTCAGCGCAAACGGACATGGAAACAATCAGGTGAGTATGGTGACGCAATGCCAAAGGCCAGTTTGCACCCGATGAAGGTGATGCTCTCTGTTTGGTGGGATTGCAAGGGCATAATCTATTTCGAGCTTCTCCCCGCTGGCGAAACGATTGATTCGGACAAGTACTGTCGTCAATTAACCAATCTGAATCGAGAAATAAAAGAGAAACGTCCGATTTTGTCAAATCGCAAGGGAGTCATCTTTCATCACGACAACGCCAGACCACACGTTTCGAAAAAGGCGCTGCTCAAACTGAAGAGCCTGAAATGGGATGTCTTAACGCATCCACCGTGCTGCCAGAACGTTGGGAAAAGATTATAGAAAACGATGGAGAATATATCATTGATTGAATAAAGATTTTTGTTTGCCTAATCACTGTGTGACTTTTACTCACAAACTCCGCACGAACTTTTGCACTCACCCAATAACATCTTTGTTATTGTGTCTGTTTTTAATAATACTGCAGGTACTATTAAGCAGTTCCCGTCTCCTCGAAACAATAGTATATTCCGGCAAAATTGAATTCGGGATATTCGGTGTTCGGATTTTAATATTATGACTTTGCAGGAAATTGTCTCAGTTTCTGAATTTCGTGATTTTAATGTTCCGGGACAATACATGTTCACGATTCGCGAACTTCGTCGTCTAGTCGTCTCCGCGCGCCGTAATTTCCGATGTATGCACGAGGAGCACTCGTTAGCTCACTTACCGGGCTGCAATTTCTCGAGGATCGATGGAGCAACGATGGTTACCAGCAAAACGAGGAGAACGTGACGAAGAACGTCGGTTGGCTGCATCTTGCCACTGGATCGTCGGAGGCTCGTGTCCTTCGAAAAGTTTGTTGCATCCTCTTACGTGTCCCACCTCCTCCCACGCTTCTTCTTCTTCCTCTTCTTTTTGTGCTGCTATCGCTATCTCTGTTTTGCGTGCCTCTTCGAACCCGTTTCTTCCTCCACTTCTTCTTCCTCTTGTTTCCTTGCCGAAATACCTCGCGTTTCTGTCGCGATCGACGAGGTGCACTTTTTGTTTCCCTTCAACGTCGGTCTCGCCGGCGCGGACTTTATCCGCTCGTCAAATCATTGCAAAAGCGTGCGTTCACGAGTAGCCGTCTCTTTGCGCAATCATCTTTCTGCTTGCCGAAGCCTGACGACGACTGCCCCGGCGCTTTGCTCAAGTTCCGACTCACTCCATACCAGACGGAATTCGCTTCGTTTTCTCGAGTCGTTTACTTTTCTCAATTACCTGTCAGATTTTACATTGTGTACATGTCTTCTATTTCTTATAATGTATTCTTGCATTCATTTGTGCATCGTTCGTTATAGCGTGTATGTGTGTGTGTGTGTGTGTGTGTGTGTGTGTGTGTGTGTGTACGTATGTATGTGTATATATATGTGCGTGCTTATTGATATTAAAATATTAAAATTGATATTAAAAAAAATAAAATAAAAATGTCGTAATGATCCTTTTAAACATAAATTTTATAACACAACACAAACACAGGAAATATATTGTTCTTGTTTTTTTCTCAAATTTATTTTGCAATTAGTGCTATCGTGATGAATATTAGATCCAGCTTGAAGTTTAAACGATTTCCTCCACGGAAAATCACTTGTCATGTGACATATATCAGCGAAATCAACGCGTGTCACTGCACTTTCGCTGACGCCTATATACGACATGATGCAACGATGTCGCACTCTCTTTTGGTGCTAACAGAAACTGTTTGCATGAAATTAAACTCGCATGACGACATGTTGCTTTCACTCAACTAAATTATGCGATGTGTTTCTTCACGTGTAATACTCGATACTAAGCAAAGCGGAAGACAAATTTGTTCATCCGTTTGTGCCAGATAAGGTGGACACGAAAGGTAAATTTCTTTGGCACAAATATCTCGCTCGTAAACTATGGTCATTATACAATTATTATTATTATTATTAAAGTACGATCGATATCGATAAGATAGGAGAAAAAAATAAGTTTTTGCTTAATAGATATTCTTCATATTTCTTAGAATGAAATCTTATAAAAAACAAGTGAAAATTTACTTGAAGCGAATAGTGTGCAAATATTGCCGCTCGGAAACATAAGAATGAATTTTTTATGCAAATTTAGAATGAATTTTTATTTCGTACGAGTGAATGTTTTACTCAAGCTTAGAATGGATTTCGATTCCAAAAATCGTTACATATTTCATTCGATTAGAATAAATTTATGATAATGCAATCGACTGATTAAAAGTTGCAACACATTTCGTATAATAGGAGAATTTATCTCTTTAGTAATGCACAAGAGATACATTATCTAATCAGACACAGAATTTGCTTTGCAAAACTCAAATTCATTCCTTAGTTCCATGTGAAAATATTTATTCATCGATATAAAACGAAGCGATTTCACTTTATACGAGCAGAAAATAGAATGGCTCGGCTAACACTTCACTTTTCGAGTGAAAGCTGATTCCAAGAAATTTATAGAGCAAAAAGAGAAGAAACCAATTTTAAAAAATTTGCAAGTGGAAATGGAGGAAGAGTCAAGTCCAGATATTTGAAATATTAGATGTGCAAATTAATTCGGTGCAAAATTCGTGCTCTTCGTGCAAAATTCAAAGTTTATTCACAAATAATCAAATACAAGTTTAATGTTCGAAATGATCTTCATCTTTTATGACTTTGCCTTATAAAGGCCATCACACACAAATGAACGTAAGCAGTAAAGAAACTGACCAATTACAATCAATTATTCTCGTAAGTTTTAAAATGGCGTCCTTAAGTTTCGATTGTGATTGGTCGATTTGCTTACTGCTTACGTCTTACCGCTTAAGTTCGTTTGTGTGTGATGGCCTTTAATATGTATCGGACAACTCAAGGCAAATCTGATGTTATTAAATAAAACCTTCAAGATCGTTTTCTTCAAGACTTCTTCCACTCTTTTAACATGTGTACAGTCTGTAAAGTAAGAGCGTGTACGGGTTAATGTGTAGAAAAATTTATTTTTAATGATTTTTAAGTACATGGATTTGTTGTACTCCATGAGAAGAAAAATGCTATACCATTAATAATGAGTCCAGTCACCATCGGCATTGATAATTGCCTGGCATCTCCGAGGCATACTTTCCACTAAGTTGACTGCGTATTCGTTCGGTAAAGACCTCCAAATGAGACGAATTTGTCGTGTCAGCTGCTTCAAAGTGCACACTCTTTTTCCTCGAAGCTTGTGCTTGAGATATGCCCATACATTTTCAATGGGATTTGCATTTGGCGACTGCGATGGCCAATCAAGTGTGACGATGCCAGACTGCTCTTTCCACTTGGTGCAAAGCTTGCGCCGGTGTTTTGGGTCGTTATCTTCCTGTAAGATCCAGTCCTCGTTTTTTTTTATGAAGCATCGTTCAGCAGTCGGCAATAAACACTTCTCATAAATTTTAAGCATTAAGGTCGGGTTCCGCTTAAACAAATTCACAATTTTTTTTCCATATTCGGCGTCACTTTGCCTATCGAGCTACGTTCTGGTAAGTCAGCGACATTTTTGATCTTCTTATATTGCTGAACCCACTTAGCGACGAACGATTTTGACTTTCCCATGTATTTAGCAGCCACTGCATATGACATTTTTTATCCTTTGGAGTGGGAACAAAGGAACGCAACCTCGTAGCACGATGCGTATGCGGCACTCATGGCGGTTAACATGTTTCTCAGGTTAGAGTTCGACGCCAACTGAATCTTTTGTGACAAAGCATTCATGACAAAGATTTCATCTATCGACTCACAAGAAGCTAGGACGATATTTGAAGCCAACTTGCCATTTATGCCTACACGCTCTTACTTTACAGACTGTATATCACCAAATGAGCGACCGGAATAGATGGTAATCCGAAAAGAATTTATTTTGTCAATAAAGCTGTATGAAAAAGAATCTCTCAGTCCGAAGCATGTAATGACGTCCTCAGTCTCCTTTGCGACATATGGCCAAGCATTGTTGTGCTGCAAAACTAACTGCAAAACTGCTGCAAAAATAACTTGCCTGGTTTCCTAGTCAATGTACGGTTTCTTTTGCTCCAATGTGCATCGTTCAAATGAATGCGTTGCTGTCGATAACACTGTACAGTAACAATTCGGCCAGAATTCAGCAACTCATAGTACACACCACAGATTCTATAGTATAACTAGACTGCTAACTACGATTCAATACATGACCCTGAAAAATATGTACCGTCCTGGTCCAACATTCACGTCTGATTAGTTGAATCAAAATACACTTCTTCTAATTAGATCGGCCATATTGCTTATATAGCCTCTCTCCTTGTGGACTACCAGTTTGACGCATGTGCAGATGCTTGATTTCCTTATCTAATACTTTTTGAGGTCAATTTTGTGCTACAGTTACAGGGGGGAGGAGGTTAGCAAGAAAGTTAGCAGTCTAGTTATATTATAGAAGTCTATGGTACATACCAAACCTTTTAAATCTCACCAAATACATAACATAGGTTGAATTAGTTCTGATTCCTAGCAATAAATGGTTTTAGTAACAAGTTAATGGTTAATACGAATCTGGCAACACATCTGGAAAAATTTAACACTTCTCTATGACATATGACAGTTTGCGCGTTATTGTTACTGATAATTTCATTGTTTATATACGTGTAAAATGGATCGTACAAAATTGTATTTTCGATATTCATTACTTTTTTGTTTGATTTGAAAAAATCGACAACTAAAGCTCATGTAATGCTTGTTACAACTTGTGATAATCAAGCTTCACCGTATTCGAACTGCAAATTTTTGTTACAACGATTCAAAAATGATGATTTCGATTTGAGTGATAAAAAACGTACTGATCAATCAAATTCGAAGATTCTGAATTCCAAGCATCATTGAATGAAAACACTGCTTAAATGAAAAAACAATTGGTTGAACAATTCAACATCGATAAATCAACAATTTTTAAACGCCTATACGCTATGGGAAAAATTCAAAAAGAAAACGAATGGGTTCCACCTGAATTGAATGAAAGTGCCATTGCAAATCGTTTAAAATCACCATGTCTTTGCTTGCCAAACAAAAAAAAAAGTTTTTGTGGCGAATTGTAACTGGAGATGAAAAGCGGATTTATTTTGATAATCCAAAGCAAAAAAAGTCATGGGCTGATCCAGGACAATCATCAATATTTACACCAAAACGTTCACAACATTCACGGTCACAAAGCAATGCTCTGTATTTGATGGAATATGGGAGATATGATGTATGAGCTTCTAAAGGCAAATGAAACAGTTACGGGGAAGCTATACCAGCAAGAATTTAACAAATTAAATGATAAATTGATGCAAAAAAGGTCAGTGATAGCCAGCAATAAACGCAAAATTTTTGCACGATAATGCTCGGCCACATGTTGCTTCAATCATTAAACAAACATTGTTAGAGCTCGAATGGGAAATCCTTCCGCACTCAGCGTATTCTCCAGATCTAGCACTAGCAAAGACATGGGCGTGATAAATCTTCACTCTTTGTTTGCTGAGTAGAGTTCACGCGGAATCCATCTACCTACCTTCTAAATTTTTTCTAGCTGATGCAAACGCATGGTTATTTACTAATGAGTAATTCCAAGATGCAGTGTGTGCTCCTGTTGATTCAAAACAAGAGAAAATTCGCTTGAAGCAATAACCGAAATATTCAACATTGTAAGAGAATGGGTGTTCCGTTCCGAGTTGAAACAAATCTTGATTCCGTTCGAGCGAATATTTCAATAGATTAGAATGAATTTATTCCTTCCTGTAATGGTGAGATATGCCAGATTTATTTCTCAGTTTGAAGCAAAACTATTCATTCGACGATCCACAATAAAAAATTAATTCTATATGATTAAGAAATCAGTTGGATTCAAATGCCGCTATTACTTTACTTTATTTTTCGAATTAAATTGCACTCCATTAAATTAAATATTATGTAATTCACGTTCTGATTTCCTAATTATAAATAATTAAACGTTATATTAATATGTATATAATTACCTGATGTAATTTGATATTCAAGCAAAAAAAAACGATTGCCGTAAAAATGTCGAACTGTAAAGAACATTGACAGTAGCAGTAAAACATATAACCTCTCTTTCCCTCTTCCACTCTCCTTCCACTTCCTCTCTCTCTCTCTCTCTCTCTCTCTCTCTCTCTCTCTCTCTCTCTCTCTCTCTCTCTCTCTCTCTCTCTCTCTCTCTCTCTCTCTCTCTCTCTCTCTCTCTCTCCCTCTCCCCCTCCCTCTCCCTCTCCCTCTCCCTCTCCCTCTCCTTCCCCCCTCTCACTCTCTCTCTCTCTCTTTCTTCCTCACTTCTAAATATTTGTTT